GCGCGGGGACGGCCACGGCCCAGCCCACAGGCGGCGCGGGTTTAAAATGCCAGTGCTCACAGGAGCTGTGTTTTCTCCAAAGTGCTGCTGGGCTCATTAGCATCTGCTGAAGGTTCAGAACGCGCCTCTGCACAGTTTCTAAAGACTCCCGGCTTCATGAATCCTCCCTCTGGGGAAGCCTCTAGACACAGCACATCCAGGTACCCGAGCAGCGGGTGGAACGACGCACGCAGCAGATGGGAGCGCAGACCACAGCTCACAGGAGCTGTGTTTTCTCCAAAGTGCTGCTGGGCTCATTAGCATCTGCTGAAGGTTCAGAACGCGCCTCTGCACAGTTTCTAAAGACTCCCGGCTTCATGAATCCTCCCTCTGGGGAAGCCTCTAGACACAGCACATCCAGGTACCCGAGCAGCGGGTGGAACGACGCACGCAGCAGATGGGAGCGCAGACCACACTAGCTCTGTTTCTGAAGCAACATGAATCAGTCCTGTCTTCAGTGCCAAATTCTCCCGACATTGATTTTAAAGGCTCCCGATACCTTGTGGAACAGCCTTAGACAGCAGCGAACACGGGATCGCTTCTGACAGGGTGCTGTATGCATAAACATTCCCAGAAGTCAAGCTGTCTGAGACGCCGAGGACCTCGAGCGCCAAGGCAGTCCAGCCAGAGCTGTTACATCGATGGACAATAAGTCCCCTGCTCGGGGCATTCAGTCACATGCCCGGGCCTGTTGTCAACGCAGCCCTAGCAAGCAGGCCGGGGTGGTGGCGGAGCGTGGGCTGATGGATCCGCAAGGGCCCATCCCCTCTAGCTCTGCTGAGGCTGGCTGGGCCGCTCCTCCCAGTACTTCCAGCAGCAAGCTGGTGGCGTGCCAGGCGCACGGCAGAGGAAAGCACCCACTGAGCCCTGTGGCTCCCCGTGCTGCGTGGGACCCTACAGCATCTTTTCCTTGTGGCACAAGCTCTGAATTGTAGCTGCAGATTCCCAGGTGGGGAGCTCAGCCCGGCCAAGCTCCAGGGTCAGTGGTTTCTATCCACCTCGCCCCGCTGGAAACGGGCAGGGGCAAAGGCCAGTTTTCCAGCAGCCACGTGGGAAGCGCACCCGCGGCTAGCCCCGGAGCCACGGGACAGCAACGTGAAGTCGAGGCCGGGGGCGGCAGAGGGGCTCCGGCGGCAGCCACGCAGGAACAGGCAATAGGGCTTGGCAGTGAGGCATGTCGGGAGGGTGCTCCACGCACGCAGGCTGCCAGGCGCTCGCGCCCCGTTCTCCGCCCCCAACCAGCCGCTGCTCCCCGGGGCTCTTAAGATCTGCGCCAAGCAAGGCTGTCCCTGCGGGGCCGGCTGGAGACTAGCCCAAGTCAGCACTAGGTGACTGCCGCTCCAGTCCCATGCTAGACACCTCCCGAAAACACGTGGCCGCCTCAACAAGCGCCCCCAGTACAGAAGGGGGCCCCAGATTTCACAGGCTCACAGGACCAGCTTAGCCCCAACATTAGCGTGGCCCCCCCGGGCCGTTCTGGGCAATAGGAGCCGTCTCCCAGAGCCCCATTTCACCCTGAGCAGAGCGGCCATGAAGAAACTCCCCCAGAGCAACACCCGAGCAAGAAGCCAGCGAGCGTGACTAGCGCTGCCGTTCGCCAGGCCAGGTCCTGCCCGGGCAGACGAGCGGCCTGTCGCTCAGGGAAAGGTTGTGGCTCACTACGGTCCCGCATCCTCTCTGGGCGGCAGGCAGCCATGGGAAGCGGGAGCGGAGCTTTTGGGAATAAGTCACTGTGCACCCGACGACGGCCATCCTGCCAACGGGGTTACCATGGCAACCACGCGAGCAGCCCCTTTCCAGGCCTCAGCGAACAATGTGCAAAGCAAGTTCGTGACCATCGTTTCCCGTGCTTCAATAAAGCTC